ATGCTTTGATTTAATTTTGGGAGAGGTAAAATAAATATGTTTTAGTCTTTTACTATGTTTTAAAATTCGATCAAAATTAGTTAGACCGAGATCCGAAAGTAGAGCTGATTGACAAAATTATAAGATTATACTTGTAATTGTTCTAATGTGATTCGACAAATTTAGTAAAAATTTTGAATCAACGATTTCGTTTTTCATTTTTTAATATTTAATTTTTTTCTAGAAAAAATTGAATTTACATAGTTATGTGTTCCAAAATTGGATAAGAAACTCAAAAACATACGACAGAAACACAACCACAGTGATTGGTTTCAAACCTGTCTTATGTCTTGTTTTGTCTGCCTCTGCATGTCTGACTCATCACACTGAAAACAAGACAAAATTAATAAAAACCCGCTTTTTCCGCAACTCACGTTCATTTCACTCAAAAATAAAGATTATCCTTTTCACATTGATTTCACATTTCACACAAGGAAAATCATTCAATAATACCCTTTTTTTAAATTTTTTTATTTACTGGCGTTAAAGAAACGCACAGAGGAAAGAGAAAAAGGGTTTTGCCTTTTAACCCTTTATTGGATTTGGATTGTGTTTATATAGTTTAATACTAGTCGTTTATAGTTTAATGGTGGATGAGTTGGTGAAGCGTGAAGTTTCAAGTTTGATTTCTTTTTAGGGTCATCTCATCTCATCTCATCTCATAGTCTTGTTTTTTTTGAGTTGACGTTATCTTCTTCAACAAGACTTCATTGGTTTATAACAAGTCTCGATATTGGAACTTGTTTTGTTGGTTTTTGTGTGAAAGCAGAGATGGGTTCTTATGGAAATCTTGCCAGGAGGGCTGTGGATACTGAGATGCCGATTATGGTTAAGGTGATTAAGGAATTGTTTTTATTTGATGTGTTTAATGATGAGTGTTTGGATTGGTGATCTTGAATTTGAGGTTGTGTGTTTTTGTGTTTATAGATGCAGAAATTGCTTCAAGGTGCTAAGAATGCTGTGTCTTTAGCTCAGGTTTGTTTTCATTTTTTCTTCTTCTTTTTCCAATGCTTGTTTTTATTAGTATCATGGTTTTAAATTGCGCACGCCGTGGCTGCGGGTGGTCTTTGTGCGTGCTACCGTGTGAATTTTGATTGGGAGGTGTTTTTAATACACAGTTGAAAACACTTAATTTTAAGATTTTTCATTACATGATATGTAAATTGAGTTTTTGAGTTATGAAAAATTATGAGTTTTGATACAAATTCTTGAAGAAACATGGCTGAAATTGTTTGATGGGTTCCTAATACGGTTGGACACATGATTTTAAAATCGCAGTGCAATTGCGGTCAGATATGGTTGCAATATTGCAGCCACAATTGCAGTTGCGGACTGCAATTTAAAACCATGATTAATATAATGAGTTTGTGTGTGTGTGTTATATCCAATGCTTGAATTATAAATTAGCTTAGCTTGGTTGGGTTATGTGTGTTTGTTTTCTGGTTTCCAATGTTTTTATTTTAAATTAACTATCTTTGTTGTTGGTGGTTTTGTTTTGTTATGTGTGTGTGGTTTCTGCTTTCCAATGTTGGTGTATAAATTAGTCTAGCTTGGTTGTTGCTGCTGCTTTGGTTTGTGTGCTTTATGGTTTCTATTTTCTAATGTTTCTATTAAAAATGAGTCTAGCCTGCTTGCTTGTTGTTGTGTTTGTTATCAAGGGTTTTGAGAGAAGCTTGATTAGGGGTTCTGATTTGCCACAATTTTAACAAAAACTACACTAGAGCTTCAACAAAATCACGGTGTCACTGTGATTTTTTTGAACTCACCGCTCATCCAAATGTACACTTGGCATTATGTGGGACCCGTTTGGATCGATTAATTAACTTTCTATGCATTATTTTCTCCTTGGTTCGGAATGAAATGCAAATTGAATTGATTTGTTGAAACTTGTCTTATGTAGGGGGTGGTTTACTGGCAACCTCCAAAGCAAGCATTGGATAGGGTGAAAGAACTTGTGTATGAGCCTTCTATTAGTCGTTATGGCAGCGATGAAGGTATTCCTGAACTCAGGGCAGCATTAGTGAAAAAGGTAAACGATCTAGTTTCTTGTTTGTTACATCAGCTTTTACTTATAGGGACGAGGATCAACATCCTATTGACCGTAATTTAGTTAACGTGTTTGCTTTTGTCACACAGTTGCGTAATGAAAACAATCTGCACAAGTCCTCGGTAATGGTTACAGCAGGTGCCAATCAGGTGATCAATCCCCCAGCTATATAATTTGCGATTAATATTTCAGCATTCACTCGTCTCATTTCTTAATATCTGCAGTGCAGGCATTCGTGAATCTAGTTCTTACTCTCTGTGACGCGGGAGACTCTGTGGTTATGTTTGCTCCTTACTACTTCAATTCATACATGTCCTTCCAGATGACTGGCATCACCGACATAATAGTTGGTCCTGGTAACCCGGAAACACTTTATCCCGATGTAGGTAAGACACCGCATTGGACTTGGAACAAGAAAGTCTATCGATATTTAAATATATAACTGAATTTTCTGATTTTCAGACTGGTTGGAGAAAGTGTTATCAGAAACTAAACCTGTCCCGAAGCTAGTTAGTATTGTGAATCCTGGCAATCCATCTGGAACCTACATTCCCGAGTCTCTTCTGAAGGTCTCTGTTTCAATCTCTTCTAAAAGTTTCCGTTCAAATATCCGCTTATGTGCATAATATGTTGCTTGATCTAAACGAATTCATTTTCTAAGAAATTGTTTTTCCTTAATTGGCCAGAGAATTGCAAATCTCTGCGAGAAAGCTGGATCGTGGCTCGTTGTGGATAATACATACGAGTAAGTCTTTACCATCCTAATGAAAATTCATTCCCATGATTTCATTATCGATTGCCTAATACTATCCTCCTCGTCAATCGGGACATTTGGTTGTTGTATGTATATGTATGCAGGTACTTTATGTTCGATGATCTGAAACACTCTTGTGTTGAAGGAAATCATGTTGTTAACATTTTCTCTTTCTCGAAAGCTTATGGAATGATGGGATGGCGAATTGGATACGTAAGTTAATACCTTATCCAGAGACAACTTATATGATAAGTGTTTATGCTATAAGCACTTCGTAAGGACCTAAGTGTTCGATTATTGCAGATAGCGTATCCGTCTGAGGTAGAAGGACTCGCTAGCCAGCTTCTCAAAGTCCAAGACAACATTCCAATCTGTGCTTCAATAATTTCACAACACCTTGCTCTCTACTCCTTGGAATTAGGACCCGAGTGGGTTACCGAACGAGTAAAAACTCTTGCAATGAATCGACATATCGTCTTGGAGGCTCTTTCCTCTCTCGGAGAAGGTTCTATCAAAGGAGGAGAAGGAGCTATTTATCTCTGGGTGAAGATCCCAACCGGACATGGTTGCGATGATTTTGAAGTTGTTCACTGGCTAGCTAATAGGCACGGGATTGCTGTTATCCCTGGAAGTGCATGCGGTGCTCCGGGCAATCTTAGAATTTCGTTCGGAGGATTGACGGAGAATGACTGTAGAGCAGCTGCAGAAAGGCTTAAGAAAGGTTTGGACGAATTGGCTGCGCATGGTTTGGTAAAAGATTAGTAACGAAATAGTTTCGTCTCGTCTCCAAAGAAATTTATAGAAAGAAAGTCTATTTGCCACTAGAGAAAATTTGCAGCTGTTGCATTTGAATAAATGTATCATTGATTTTCAGCCTCTTTGGTTTATAGCCTGTTTGGTTCAGCGTTGGGTTTCCACGTTTTCACATAACAGAATGATATCTACACATGCGTTTGCTTGATGAAAAGCTAAACCAAACACACCATTAATAATTTTCATTTTGAGTAAAAGTAGATAAATGCATCATAAACTTTTTTTCATATCAATTGATTTCTATAAGTTTTATGTCTCATGGTGGATTGATATGTATATGCATGCACAAACTCTTTCGATAACAATACTTAATCAGACTTTTCTTATCTATCGGACACAAAAAATTAGGTTAGTATAGGAGTTTACCAGACTTTACATATCTATCGGTCAAAATTAGGTTAATAAAGAAATTTATCAGACTTTACTTATCTATCGATTGAAATTAAGTTAATAATGAAGAGTCTCCTTGATGTTATCCGTTGCATCAATTATTATATGTGCATGGCGTGATCAATTATACCAACAAAAAACAACAATGATCACTTATGGCATAATTAAACAAATTCACCCACCCATTGAGTTCAAATCAAAAGGAGAATAAAGTGAAACAACGGACAAAATCTAGTGTAGGAAAGGAATAATGTTGTTTTAGCAAATGATAAAGGTTGAGATTTGATTTAGTGACAAACGGGATGTTTACTTAACAATATGGTGTGACAATACATATGTGGTTATCACTTCAAAAACTAATTTATATTTTTTTATCAAAGTAATTTATCATGTTTCACAGAACAGAAGTACTAAAATTGACACCAATATTGATCAACACAAGTTTAATCATCTCCAAATGTGTAGATAATGAAAATGTTAAAATCAGAAATCAAATTTGTGAATCTTTTATAAAGAAATTCAAGTAGTGAGAATAAATTTTTTATCAAAATATCTGTCAATCACAGATTACTATTATAATTTTAAAATTAAATAAAATTAAAATCAAATATTATTAACTATCCAAGCGTTATGACTAATTTACAACATAAACAATCTTCAGACTATAAATACACATATACCAATTAAATAAAAATAGTAAACTATACAAAATAAAGAATAAATAATTAAGTCAATTCTAAAAAAAGCAAAAGAAAAAAAAAAGTTAGTTAGGAAAAAAAAAGCAAATTGGGCCCGTTTGGTAGTTTTGAAATTCAAAACAGAAGCCTATGGGCCCACTGGATTCATCAATTCAAAACCACAAAAAGCCCATCACAACCAAACTCGTCGGTCGAACCAACAACCAATCAGCTCGGTGAAGAGAGAGAGAGAGATAGAGAGAGAGAGAGAGAGAGGAGAATGGCCGGTGGTGGTGGTGGTGGTGGTGGTGGTAGTTCATTGACAGGTTTGCAAGAACATGTGAAGTTGGCAAGAGATTATGCTCTTGAAGGTCTCTATGATACTTCTATCATCTTCTTTGATGGTGCTGTTGCACAAATCAACAGGTTAATGGGTTTCACATTTTCATTGTAAAGTTCATTTTTTTATTACATTGTTGTTAATGGGTTTCAATTTTTTTTTTTAATTTTGAATATACCCATTAATTGTTTTTTTATGTTTATTCATTTTACCATTGCTGGATCAAAGAGGGAAAATAGTTCACAATTGGTGTTTCTTTCATGAATGAGATGTTAGAATTCATTTTGCGTTGAATGGTAACAATAGTTGATGTTTTAAGTGGGTGGATCTTTGGCCATTTGATTATAATTAGTATCATTTCTTGATATGAATTAAGCATGTCAAAATTAGGTGCATTTTCTTAGGGGATTTTAGTACTTTACTTAACTTAAGATTTACTTTTTGTAGTTGTAACAAACTTTGAAAATGTTATAGATTTGAGTTTGAGGATATCATAGGTAGTTAAGTTAAGAACCATGTGAAAAGTACTTAAGGAAATGCACTTAAGTTGTTAAATCCTTTGTAAGTGTTAGTGTTGTAGTTGGTTTGGTTAATTGTAGTTGATTTTAAGAAGTTTGAATCTTGTGTGATTTTCAGGCATCTAAACAGTGTTGACGACCCTTTGATTCGTGCAAAATGGATGAATGTTAAGAAAGCTCTTTGTGAGGAAACTGAAGTTGTAAAGCAACTTGATGCAGATAAAAGGGCGTTTAAAGATAATCCTATTGGAAGACGTCCTCCGTCGCCTCCGATTTCTACTAAATCTTCGTTTGTTTTTCAGCCGTTAGATGAGTATCCTACTTCATCGAATTCATCTTTCGATGATCCGGATGTGTGGAGGCCACCTAGTAGGGATACTGGAAGTAGAAGACCTGGAAGGGGTGGTCAAGTGAGTAATCGGAAATCTCAACAAGATAGTAAATGGGCTCGAGGTGCTACTACAAAGACAGTTACCACTGGCCGTGGTGGTGCAAAGGCTGGTGGTGCTACTAGCAAAGTTAACTCAGGGGGCCGGACATCAACTCCTGTAAAGAAAGGTGGTGCATCGGGAAAGTCTAGCAAGACAGATGCAGTTGTAAGTTTCAATTTCTATGAAGCATTTTGTTGGACAACATTTTTTGTTTCACATTTTGTTGTTGCAAGAGGTTATACTCGGCTTACGGCTTACGGCTTATGGTATCCCGGACTAACTACTATTTCGGTGGCTTGAATAAGATTAAACTTATATATGTTGTTTTGTTCTTTGTAGAATGGTGATGCTGAAGAAGGGAAGTCGAATAAAGGACAATATGAAGGTCCTGACCCTGAATTGGCTGAAATGCTAGAAAGGGATGTGTTAGAAACCTCTCCTGGAGTTAGATGGGATGATGTTGCTGGTCTCACTGAAGCAAAAAGGCTTTTAGAAGAAGCTGTTGTGCTTCCCTTATGGATGCCTGAATATTTCCAGGTAACCTTAAACTATTCTCACTCTGAGGTTTCTAGGTCAGTTCTATTAAGCAAGCGCTTATTATGGAAATGAATTTGAATTTTACTTAATGAAATGCCTATGAAGATATTAAGATGTGTTCCGTTGAGCTCATTCTTTCTATTTTTCAGGGAATTAGGAGACCTTGGAAAGGTGTCCTTATGTTTGGTCCTCCGGGAACTGGAAAGACGCTTCTTGCTAAGGCAGTTGCTACTGAATGTGGAACCACTTTCTTTAATGTTTCTTCTGCTACTTTAGCTTCTAAATGGCGCGGAGAAAGTGAGCGAATGGTGCGGTGTTTGTTTGATCTTGCAAGAGCTTATGCACCAAGTACAATTTTCATTGACGAAATCGATTCTCTATGTAATGCTAGGGGGTATGTTGTTGTTTATGCTCTTTTAAACGTTCATCACACATAATAGTTTTTGAAACTTGTTTATACACCTATTTCTCAAATAATTTGCGCTCTATATGGATTCTAGAGTTATGTCAGGGTCTAATTGAATTCTGTTTCATAAGGGCTTCTGGAGAGCATGAATCGTCTCGAAGGGTGAAATCTGAACTTCTAGTTCAGGTTGATGGTGTAAGCAACAGTGGTACAAATGAAGATGGTAGCAAGAAAATAGTAATGGTCTTGGCAGCTACTAACTTTCCATGGGACATAGATGAAGCACTAAGGTTTGTATTCGGTTTTCTGTATCCTTTTCAAAACTATTTATATTGTTAGTGGATAAAAAATCGAATAGTTAATTAACTGTGTTTGAAACATCTTTGAAAGTACTAGTCTACACTTTCTGATCCAATTTCATCTATAATGTAATGCAGGAGAAGGCTGGAAAAGAGAATATATATTCCTCTTCCAAATTTCGAGAGTCGTAAAGAGTTGATCCGGATAAATTTGAAGACTGTTGAGGCAAGTCGTGGCTTTTCATTACTGTCTTAACTTATATAGGATTTTGAGCTTGACCCTTATATAGGATTCGTCTTGTACCAGGTAGCCCCGGATGTCAACATAGATGATGTGGCTCGTCGAACTGATGGCTATAGTGGAGATGATTTAACAAACGTCTGTCGAGATGCTTCCTTAAATGGAATGAGACGGAAGATAGCAGGAAAGACACGCGATGAAATTAAGAGTATGTCTAAGGATGATATTTCAAAGGATCCTGTTGCCATGTGTGATTTCGAAGAAGCTTTGGCAAAGGTCCAACGAAGTGTTTCTCCGGCAGATATTGAACGCCATGAGAAGTGGTTTCACGAATTTGGATCAGCATAAACACTCACCAATGGTAGTGTTTTTTTTATACTACCACTTTGTTCTCAATTGGGTTATCTGCATTGTTGTTAAATAGCGGCTATAGCTTTATTGCATAGTGGAATTTGAACAAACCACTATTGTTCGGTCATACGTTATTTAGTACAAAATATTGTGAAACAACTGCTATTGAACAAAGTGTTATTTTCTGCTATCCGCACTTGACAACCCTAGTTATCTGTATTGTTTGTTGATATTGTACTTGGTTTTCTCTTGAACAGGTTTCACTGTTGTCTTATGGTGTAGGAGAATATTCAGTTGTTAATTTGTATCTGTGACCGTTGAATATTGATGTAATGTAACCTTATATGATATTGAAGATGTTATTCTCTCTTTGTGCACAAACCTTGATATTTGAACTTCCAACTTAGTTTCTTTCTGGTTTGGCTAATGCTAGTTGTCTTGTAATTGTGCATGCAATTTCTGTTGTTATTTAAAATCAGGTTCACATTTTATAAGAAAGTGCAAATGATATCTGGAATAAGATGGCTTAAGAGATTAAAAAAGAAGTTAAGGAGACATTGAGAGAATAAGAGGTTTTTGGCTGGAGTAAAAAATTATGATGGGTGAAAGTGTTCAAAGTAAAGTTAGAGTAAAAAAGAAATGCTTTAAAGAATGGTTTTAGTGTAAAAATGTTGAAATTTGAAAAAATTATAAGAAAGCTTGTTTCACTAGCCACAAGTGAGTGAAACAAGTGTCCAGACATTTGGCATCGGATTCTATTTAATGAAGGATATGGTATTTTATCAGATTCTAAAAAACTTGACATTCGAAAAGATGATTGAAACTATAATTGTTAATGTTAGATTAGTAAATAAGAAGTAAAATAAACATTGAAAATGATGAGTAACAATAAGGCGATTGAGTGATAAAACATGTTTATTAAAGTGTAGAATTTTTCTGGAGATAGAAGAATTGAATAACTCATCAAACTCGATTTTTTTTTGGAATAACCAAGTATTGAAAAAGATCACATCAATAACCACCTTTTTGAAAAAATTATTCAAATAATCAGGTTTGATATTTGGGCAAAATGGTCACACCATCTCATATGGCGCATACACCTAAAATTGCACGTAAGCGCCATATGAGATGACACATGCAGTACCATTCAATCAAGTCAGATGGTGCATGCTCTTCTATTTTAGGAGGAGGCGCCATAGGCGTCATCTCATATGGCGCCTACATGTATCTGCGTTATCTATAAATAAAAACTCCACTTCTCCACCATTCTTCGCACATTTTCTCACTTTCTCCTTAATTTTTCATCATGACATCCAACATGATTTTCACAAGAGATGGATATGTTTGTTTCTCAGCTATCAAATCCCTGATTAAAGGACCTTAAAGAGCATTATAGCTCTCTTTGGTTGGATGAAAATTCGTCTGAGGCAGATAAATTAGTTAAAGTTAGGAATTATATTATAATACTATTTGGAAGTCTCTTATTCTCTGAAAGTACAAGCAATAGTGTTAATTTTATGTATTTAAGTTTGTTTAGGAATATTTATAAAATAAAAGGGTATAGTTGGGGTTCTGCCGTTTTAGCCCATCTATATAGTTCATTATGTAAAAATGCCAAAAAAAAACACTTGTAGTTTTTATGGATGCGCTTTCTTGCTCAAAGCACGGGGTTGGTGGAGAATGGAGTGCCTTTCCCCCATCAACAACAACACATTCATGTTCTTCTATGCAACAAAGTAAGTCTATAACGCTATTTCCATTTTCTCACTTTATGCTAAATAGTTGTACATAATTTTTTTAATCTCTCTTTGCTTTAGGTTTTGTGTAAGAGGGATGAATTACAGTAAAAATCCTTTTTACCCCACTTATTCAGATGACCAGTGCTATCGATCACCCCATGGAACCCAATCCTCCACCAAGATGACCAAACTTTGAGAACATGAGTAACCGACTGTTTGAAAGCAAGACTTTCAGATATAGTGATTTGACAGATTTCATGGACCCTGGCCGCGTTGACCTAGCAGGTCCATCGACCCAACCACAAGAGAAAAATCGTAGAGTCACACAACGAATTAGGCAAGGACGCGGGTGCAAAACCACTGGCCGTTATCAAATCCCGAGCGACAACTGAATAATATGTAATTTTTATTCCAAAATGTAATCGTTTCACTATTCTTAAAAATCAAAATATTTTTTATGAGGAAATTGTTTATTATTATTTTAAAAAAAATTATATTACACATAGGCGCCATATAAGATGGCTTATGAGAAATCAGATGCACTTAGGTGCCATCTCATATGGTGCATACCTTTTAAAAATGGGTGCATACGCCATCTCATATGGCATGACCATTTATACCACTTCTGAAACATGATTAATTGGGTAATTTTTTCAGAAAGTTGGCTATTGATGTATTTTTTTTCAATAATTGGTTATTCAAAAAAGTTTCACCAAACTCTAATGGAATTATGAGGTCAAAGCAAATGTCAGATGAATGGAGAGGAAATACTTTAGTTCAATCTATAAGAACAATGTGGATATACAAAATTGTGAAAATTGTAGGGGGTTAAACTTATGAGTCATAACATGAAGTTATGGAATAGAGTGATTGAACAAAGATTAAGAAAAGAGACTCAAGTTATTGATAATCAATTTGGTTTTATGTTAGGGAGGTCAACCATGGAAGCATTCTATCTAGTACAACGTGAGATGAAGCGGTATCAAATGGACTAATAAGACTTGCAATTAATTTTCATCGATTGACTTGGGGAAGACGTGAGATTGAGTATCTAGAGAGATATTACGAGAAGTCATAGAATGAGTTAGGTCTGTTTATATTTGAGTTATCCAAAATATGTATGAAGGAGTATCAACTAGTGTGCGAACACAAGGTGGAGAGACTGACTAATTTCCCATCACAATAAGATTGCACTAAAGTTCAACCCTAAGCCCCTACATTTTTTCTTTAATTTTGGATGTACTCGCGAAATGCATTCAAGAATTAGCACCAAGATGTATGTTTTTTTTACGGATGATATAGTCCTACTTGAAGAGCTAAAAGAGGATTTAAATGAGAGGTTGGTTACTTAAAGATGAACCTTAGAAACAGGTGGCTTTCACTTCAGCAAAAGTAAGACGGGACGAGAGTATATGGAAAGTAAGTTCAACATAAAGAGAATGACTTCTAATTTAGAGGTGAATGTTGGATATTATATCACCCAATATGTCACGCTATTTAAATATATTTGGTTTGTAATACAAAACAAAATGGAAAAAGAAGGGATGCAAACCATCAAATTCATGTTTGATGGCTTAAATGGAGGAGTGCCTAATGCATTTTATGTGACACAAAAGTATCAATCAAGCTGTAGGAGAAATTTTATCGACAACAATAATACATGTGATGTTGTACATGTCACGATGTTGGATGGTAAAGAATCAACACATGAATGAAGTAAGTATAACAATTAAAATTGTGGTATATCAGACTTCAGATGTCCTATGATATGTCGAGACATCATATCTGAATAAAACACACAAGCAATGTATAAAAACATGCAAAATAGTACTGAAAAGTATAAACAACACACATGAATTGTTAACCTAGTTCGGAGCAACTCTTCTACTCTGGGAGCATACCAAGTCAGAGACAAGTTCACTATAGTAGTATCAATTCAAAGCTAAATTCCTCCGTTTACAACTTCTCACTTAATCACTACTCGTGCTATACTTATATATAAGACTCACCTAGATATGAGTCTCTCCTCAATCCCTCATCAATCACAGATAACAATTGGACAATACAAGAAGACATACTTACATGACAAAAACAGAAGACACACTTTAATGACGAGAAGACACACTTCCATGATAACATTAGAAGTTTCACTTCTAAAACAATACATAGCCAAGACTCTTGACTAAGAATAACAACTTGGAGTTGCTTAAAAGCTTCCTTCAAGAATAATACTCAACTCATTACCTAAATGCTTCCGAGTGAGAACAAAACCTTACAACTTAAGGAACATATTCTAACTCACATGTCGAGTGGAACTCACAACCAATTTTCCTAGAGAGTGGTACAAACTCAGCCCTAACAACTACATCTTTTTAATTCTTGGCTGGTACTAATCCTAGGTTACAATGCTTATATTTATAACCTATACCCAACTGGATTTAGGCCTTCAAACACAACTCATCAATTGTTACAAATCAGCAGTAACTTCTGCTACAAACAAGGTCTTCAAGTAAATCTTTCCTAATTTTTCTCCATAATTAGAAAGTCAATATTCTTCAATATTCTTTTTGATTCTGATTTGAATCTTCCAGACCTATAACATAGTGCCACATAGGATAGCATAATATTCCCAAAATATTCTACATTTGTTAAATCATAACAGAATCCAACAGTCCATCCCAACCCAGGCGTGATGTCGTATGACCCTGCATAGGACATCTTGTCCGACATGTTGCTCCAGATGTTGAGAAATTTTCATCTCAACATGTCTCAACATAAAAATAGGACTTCTTACTCAACATGTTCTTCATAGCAAGTAATCACATGCTATTTAACATATTGTTGCTATATTAGTTTTACCAAACATAATGCCAACCATAAAAATAGAGAATTAACAATCTCCCCCTTTGACTTATTTTGGCTAAAACTAATTTACATAACCTTTGCATACACAAATGCGAACTATAAAAAACAAAAGCTAAACAACATAATCAGTTAGTAGCAATCATAAACTTAAAACATCAGAAGCACTCAGTCTTTAGTCTTCATATATTTTTTAGTCTTTACTGTTTTCACTCAAGATGTCACAACATCTTGTATGGATTTCTTCATGACAGTCCTGCACATACTCACCAACCAATATGACATCTTCATGACTGTCCAACACATACCAACCAATAAGACATCTTCATGATTGTTTAACACATATTCTCTCCCCCTTTTTAGCCAAAATATGATAGAGGCAGCAAGGAGAAGTAA